GGAATAACAGGAGGGGCTAGGGAAGAGCTGAAGTGCACTGGCACAGTAGTGATTCCCAAGAATATGAGCAGGAAGGGGTGTGGTAGGTCAGGATCGGGGGACATTGGCATAGTTGGAGGGAGTTGAATGGCATTTAGCTACTCAGATGAGTCTTGCAGTTTGATAAACTGTAAATCTGTTTGTGCTTACAATGCAAACAAAGACTCGGCAGCAGCAGCCCAGGCCTCACTGTATAAATCTTATTTCTCTCTGCCCAGGATAAATTTCTTTCACAGGATAAATTGCTGCATCCTGAAGCTTCCTATTGGGAGGGAAACCGACAGAATTTATGGATAACTTGCTTTGCTAGTAATATGTCTGGCCAGAATATGTCATGGGCACATATTGGGATTTTGGGTTTTCAGTCCAATATGAATTTTAAAAATGAATCTGTTAGCTCCAAATTGCCTCGGGAAAGCAGATTTCAGCTGTTGCATTCCAGCTCTGCTTGTAAAGCCATCTGTCTTTGCATTTGTGTCTGTAAGTACAAAACAAGAGCTGGATCAAATGCCTAGTACCTAGTATGGACTCCTGGAAGCCCACCCCTCTCTCATCCTTCCATTGCATCCTCACTGCTTTTTGGCATGTGTTGAGGAATCAGCTGATTACTTCTCTTTGGGGCCAGGTGCTGAGTGTTGCTCCCTAATTGTATTTGTTCTCCTGGCCGGAGAATCTCTACAAAGGGCCCAGAGCTCCCTGTAAGAAAGTGCAGTCTCATTAGTCCCATTGGTACAGAGTGCACCACTCACTGAAAGGAGACTCACGCCCTTGGCTGCAGGTATAGGGCAGACCCTGGGGATTGGGCCTATGGTGTTCCAGTGTCTTGTGGCCGTGATTATCAGCCACATCTCCAAGTGAGCTGCTGGGGCTTGCTGTGCGGTGTAGGGCACTCGTGATGGGCACCTTGAAGTTCTTCTATTCCGATTTACTGTTCAGTCGTGTCTGTGTAATACTCAGTGTGGCTGGGGCTCAGGCAGGAAAGTCGATTGTCTGTGGGAGGCAGAAGAAACCAGCACTGGCCCCAGGGGAATGAGGGAATGGGCTGTACAGGACTTGTTAGGGTTAGCTCCAGTGGTTGTCTCAACCACCCAATCCACTTCTGAAAACTTAGCAACATCCCCTTGGGTGAGCGGCTTAAGAACTCAGGAACAAGCTGCTGGTACAGCAGGGTATGGGGCAGCCTCCCCTCTGAGGAAGACCCCTGCTGACTCAGTCCTGAAAGCATTACACAGGGACTTGTGTCTTTCATCCGAGCTAATTCCATGAAGCCTCTCTGTGTTTAGTGCCCTGCAACCTTCTCATTCAAAGTCAGAGCTGCGACGGGCAGGTGGGTTGCTGCTCCTTTGGGGTAATGGTTAGTGCGACAACCCAGAAGCTTTCTGTGTTTTGGTGGTTCTCTGTGCTTCCAGGCCATCCCTGCTAGCTGGGCCCCCTCCCTGAAGCGCGGCCTCACTGCTTCTCTGAGCTTCATCCATCATTGGGATCGCCTTCTTGGACCACCTCAGGGATTGCGTCCTCTTCTGCAGAGCACAGGACACGTGCGTGCCCAGGCAGCTGAGAGGTCTGGGAAGGCTGCCACACCAGGC